CTCACAGTGGGTAACAGACTTAAACCTAAGGTGTGAAAGTATTAGAATTTTAGAAGAAAATGTTGTAAAAACTCTTATAGACATTGGCCTAGGCAAAGAATCTATGAAAAAGAACCCAAAGGCAATCACAGCAACAACAAAAATAAAATAAATAAATGGGACCTGATCAAATTGAAAAGCTTCTGTACAGCCAAAGAAACTGTCACCAGAGCAAAAAGACAACCTACAGAATGGGAGAAAATTTTCACATGCTACACATCCAATAAAGGGCTGAAAACTAGAATATATTTAGAACTCAGGAAAATCAGCAAGAAAAAAATCAAAAAACTCTGTCAAAAAGTGGGCAAAGGACATGAACAGAAACTTTTCAAAAGAAGAGAGAATAATGGTCAAAAAACGTATGAAAAAATGTTCAACATTTCTAATCATGAGGGAAATGAAAATCAAAACCACAATGAAATATCATTTATCTTCAGTGAGAATGGCTTTTATCAAAAAGTCCCAAAACAATAAATGTTGGCATGGATGCGGAGAGATAGGAACACTCATACACTGCTGTTAGGACTGAAAACTAGTGCAACCTCTGTGGAAAGCAATACAGAGATACCTTAAAGAGATACAAGTAGATATACCATTTGATCCAGCAATCCCATTACTTGGCATCTACCCAAAAGAACAAAAGACATTCTATAAAAAAGACATCTGCACTCGAATGTTTATAGCGGCACAATTCACAATTGCAAAGATGTGGAAACGATTCGATTGCCCATCAATACACGAGTGGATTAACAAAATGTGGTATATGTATACCATAGAATACTTTTCAGCTATAAGAAACGATGGTGATATAGCACCTCTTGTATTTTCCTGGATAGAGTTGGAACCCATTCTACTAAGTGAAGTATCCCAAGAATGGAAAAATGAGCACCACAAGTACTCACCAGAAAATTGGTTTCACTGATCAACACGTAAGGGCACATATAGGAATAACATTTATCGGGCGTCAGGCAGATGGGAGTGGGGAGGAGGGGATGGGTATGTACATACATAATGAGTGTGATGTGCACTATCTGGGGGATGGACATGCTTGAAGCTCTGACTCGGGGGGAAGGGCAACGTAACCTAAACATTTGTACCCCCATAATATGCAGAAATAAAAACAAAATAAAATAAAATAAAAAATAAGTGATCATTATAGATACTAGAAGTCACTTACTCAGTTTCCTTGTTTGGAAGCACAGAACCTCTAAAGACTACAGACTTTAATTTAGATAAAAATTACCAATCAACATTATCCATTAATAGTCGATATATAGTAAAGAAACCAAGACTAAGTTAGCATGCCTATACAGTCGTCCCTCAGTATCCTTGGGGGATCGGTTCCATGACTTCCTATGGATACCAAAATCCATGGACGCTTACGTCGCTGATATAAAATGGTGTAGTATTTGCATATAACATACACACACCCTCCTGTATACTTTAAATAATATCTAGGTTACTTATAATACCTGATACAACGTAAATGCTATGTAAATAGTTGTTATACTATAGTGTTTGGGGAATAATGATGAGACAATAAGTCTGTACTGAACATGTACAGACTTATTTTCTTCCTAACATTTTCAATGCA